TGGTACAACCATATGACCAAATAGTGGAGGAGGTGGGAGATAAGCATGTGATCCAGTTTATTACGAACAATACGAGTTTCTACTGGCAGCAAGTCGATGGATAAGAGGAAGCATCTAGTATGGACCCTGTGTGCTGCACACAGCATCAATCTTATGTTAGAGGAGATTGACAAGATCAAAATTATGAAGGAGACTCTAGAGGCAGTGAGGTTCATGTCAAGATTTATATATAACCACTCTAAAATTTTATTTTTTTTAGATAACAATCTGTGAAAAAAGAGATAATCAGGCCTGCCATAACCTGCTTTGCGACAAATTACTTAGCTGTGGACTCCATTCGGGAATCCCAAGTTGCATTGAAGAGATTGTTTACCAACGAAGAGTGGTCAAACGACCACCTCTTGAAGTCCATAAATGGGCTAAAAATGGAGGGCATAGTCACAGATAGGAGGTTCTGGTCTCAGTGTTCCAGTGTCATAAGGCCACTGCCCCTTTGGTCACAGTGTTAACAATAGTTGATGCTGACAAGAAAGCTACCATGAGCATCATTTATGAAGGTATTGAGAGGGCCAAATCAGCTATGGGGAAGAAGTGTAGTTTTGCTAGTAAAGTGATTGACAATCATAAAAAAGGTGGGACACCAAATTTGGTCGCCCAATTCATTATGCAAGTACATATATATTTATATCCTTAGAATGTTTAATTCTAAAATATTTTTAATGTGCATTTAAATGACCTTTTTCTATCTATGTATTTTCTAGGTTTCTACTTCAGCCCAAATTTTTTCTATTTGACACCTGAACATCCTCACAAGATTATGGAAGGAGTCAAATACATTATTGCCAAGCTGAAGAGAAGCCATCGAAACCAACTGCGTCAATACATGACTTAAGAGTTAATATTTGGGTAAGAACTTCATTGAGTTGTTATATTTGTGAGGAATAACTAATGCACTAAAATGAAATATTTTGTTTTGGCTTTCTATGTATAGGGATGCTGTAGAATCCTTCGAAACTAGACTTGTCAGGAATTCTAGATGCTTTTTGCATTTTAATCTAGCTGAATGATGGGAGATATATGGTGGTGATGCACCACACCTAAGGAGCATAGCAATCAAGGTGCTCTCTCTCAGACATGTTTTTCCACTAGGTGTGAGCGAGTCTGGAATGCGTTCCAATGGTTGTACACTGCTAAGAGGAATCGACTCGCTTCAGAGAGGCTTCATAAGCTAGTTTACGTTTATTACAACTTGAACCTCCGAGAGCGATAAATAAGAAAAAAGCTTGAAGACTACGGGCCAATAGACTTGGACACTATTTGTCACAGACACAGCAAAACAATGGGTAGTAGAGGAAGAGGAGCCAATGTTACATAAGAAAGCGTTCCTCGAGGCTATGGATAAAGAATATCATGAAAAAGGTGATGAGCAGCATGAAAGAGGAAGCAACATGTCGACATATCCACAATTCGTTAGAGATGTCCGTGGTGTTGCACCTAATGAGAGAGAGTGGGAAGGGAGTACAAAGGAAAGTAAGAGAGATGATTCTGATGCCGCTCTATCCCAACCAAACTATTCACATACCGCGTCCCAACAACAAGGGAGTAGGAGCGAGCATGACAATGTAAGTGAGCATGAAGGATAGACAAACTTTGGGGATTTTGGATTAAGAGCGCAATAAAACACTAACATTTAGGGATTTGGGTAGTCAAGTGCCCATTATTTTGGATGATTCATTCTTAGATCGAGTCAATGAATTGTCACGCGAATTCAATGAATGGCACCAGCGTGACCAAGATTAAGAACGACATCGTCTTTCATATTGGTATTAGGTCGTATTTTACAAATTGTATGTTTTATTGTAGTCCATGTATGATGATATACTTCATGCATGATAATTTTATACTTCTCCTTTTGTGTGATGTAAATTTAATGATTAACAGTAATTCATACAGGGAAATAACATCTCAATATTCACATATTGATGCAAAAAAATTCAAGTTCTTAATGGAGTACCCCCATTTCTTATTGGATTCTTAAAAAACAACATATATAATGAATTTTAATAATTTTTTTGGAATTTTTTAAGGATGGATTTGACCGATTCGGCCGATTCCCAATCCGAATTGCCGATTCACCGATCCGGATGGGTTTTTGGGGTGCTCGACCTGGGGCACCAATCTGTTTTTTAAACCACTAATGTGAAGCATCTGTAAAGATATAAAATATAATGAATTCAAGTTTAGTAATAATAGGAGTAGAAACGAGGAAGTAGTTAAGAGGAAACGAGCCCGAGTATAAATTGGCTAGTGTTTGGCAATTTGCAGCGCTAAATCGCAGGCTCAACTCTTACCAAATGTATCAAAAAAAAAAAAAAAAATTAAATTCATCAAAAAAACAACAAGAAGGAATTATTTAAGATTTATGGCCAAGAAATACCTAAAAGAAAGTATTTTCAATATCTTGAGTCAATAATATAGAAAAATGGAGAAATTGAGGAAGATGTCACACAGAGAATTAGAGCTGGGTGGGCGAAGTGGAGATGTGCAACCAGAGTTTTATGTGATTGCCGCATATCAATGAAGTTGAAGAGGAAGTTCCATAGGACAGTTGTGAAACCTACTTTGCTTTATGGGATGGAATATTCGGCGGTCAAGAAACAACATACCCATAGGATGAGTGTAGCAGAGATGAGAATGTTGAGTTGGATGAGTGACAAGACAAGAAAGGATAAAATTCAGAACGAATATATTCGAGGAACTTAGGGGTAGCTCCAATAGGAGGCAAGATGAGGTAAAGTAGGTGGGCTAGCCATTTGCAACATAGACCCAATACAATACCAGATAGGAAGTGCAATTTGGTTCAAGTAGAAGGCTTTGAAAGGGAAAGAGAAAGGCTCAAAGGACATGGATAGAAATAGCGAGAAACGATATGGGGATTTATAGTCTTACTGAGGGTATGATCCTTGATAGAAAAATATGGTGGAAAGATTCTTGTAGTTGATCCCAAATAGTTGGGATAAGGCTCTAATGATGATGATGATGATAATCTGTAAAGCATATAGAATTGAGTTGTAGACTATCTTGCTTTCCTATTTCTACATAGAAGTTCAAGTCTACATATAATGACAGCCACAATTGATTAAGGTGGATATGACAGACACTTATAGGAGGCAGCAAGAGCCCTTGCATGAGAGGGAAAAATAGGACCGCACAGAATACAAGAGGGAGGCAATTATCATCAGCATCCAATTCCTCCAAAGTCTATGCCATCCCCAAGACAGCCATCATTGGGATGAGCATCCCAGTTCTTATACATTGGTTCATAATTATATTCTAATCTCCTCCTAGTAAAAAAACTACCAGTATAATGGACATATATCAACAATTTAAATAGATAGTGTTAAAGATGTTCAGCTTGACAACGTGAATATGATTGTTGGCGTTCCAAATTCCCTCTACAATTGAGTAGGTCTAGCTATAGGATAGAACCTTCATTGCTAGACAATATAAATTTGAACGCCCAACCCCCCCGAGAGAACCAAAAACAAACACGCAACATATAGGTCCTACCAGGATATGCATTCATGTAAACCATAATAAGCAGGGACTCATCAATGTGCAAATTGTATAGAGCACAATGAAAAAGAGAAAAGGTTTGAAGGTGCATTTCTCTCCCCCATTTATGGTTTTTTTACTAGTGAGAAAGTTGGGGTATATTCTTTGTTTATTTCATAAATGTTTACCTTTAATTACTGAAAACATAATGTTTTCGACGGAATTACAGTTTAATTTCAGAACATCTAGATTACTGCATTGTGTCTTAATTTTGTAAAGTTGTTTCATATGACACACAAGAACTATGATTAATTTTGTTAATTAAAAGGATAAAGACCAATTATTTAAACATAGGAATTTATATGAAATTGAAGTGATTCGTAGGTAATGCAACGTCACAGTTTAGAAATTAATTTGGTCTAGGAACTTAGTTACTATTCTCTTTTCCTTTCTCCAAGTACTTTGATATAGCTCTAACATGGAATATATAGTTTTTGGAAGTAGGATCTGTATTCAAATACAAGGTTCCACAACTAAGGGTTTTCATTAATTTACTTAAATATTTTCTTCCAAAACAAGTATCCATAAAGATGAGATCAGAGTCCCATCTATTAAGAAGTATACTTCCATCTTCCATGAGTATCCACTTTCCACAAGTTGGATCGGGGATTCTATAGGCAGTTGTAATCCAGAATAGGATGTCTATGCATCAAAAGAGAACCGCCATTCCTGGAAGATCCCACTTCCAACTGTAAATGCACAAGCTAGATTTCAATATCAGAATCTCATAAAAGGGCAAGCTTGTATGACATACCCGCAGACAAGATTGCAACTAATCTAGGAGTAATTGTGCATGGAGCAGGAACAATAAATAGAAAGATTAGGTTAGTAGAAGCAAGACAATGAGGATCAAGAGTTAATCACTGATTTATTGCAGGAACACCAGCCTGGGTAAAAGGTTCCTTCAATAACACGAGGACTGACTAGGCCTCGTAGAGCAAAAGTATCATGAATGTCAGTTTTGAAGCATATCCTACTCAAATCAACTAACTATGATTGAGTCCACTATTTCAGCAAGTTAGAAATCATAATCAAATGGCTTTAAAACATCCCAGTGCAAAAGCATGGCAAAATGGTAAAATGCCGAGATGCTTTTCAAGTTCAATTTCAAACAGGTGACCATGGTTATCAGCCCAACATTACAAAAAGATAAAAAGTAAGTAAAGGATACATCATAAAGTTTGTAACTGCGAAACTTAAAGTTAGATTAGTTGAATTGCCACCACAAAATGCAAAAAGGAAAAGAAAAAGCAAGAGAATTGATGCACAATGTTACAGCATTATCTGATCCACAATGCAATCTGATTTTAGAATGTAACAACCTTTAGTACTTAACCTGCCATTATTCCTGAATAATACCATAAAATGGACTTTTATCATCTTACCGGCACCACCATGTTTACAAGGCCCATTTTCTCTGCTTCTTGGGCACTATAGAATCGTGACAGAAACCACATTTCACGAGCTTTTTTAGGCCCAACCTGATTGAACAGGAACACCATTCTAGAATTCAGAAATAAGAAAATCAAATTCACAAAAGAAATAAGAACTAGAATCAGCATAATGTCACAAAGTTGACATGATGTACAGTAACTGCTATGCATATTCTATGAAATACTTTAAAGATCCATAAGTCCAAAGTTGCAGCATGGGCTCAAAGAACATGAGTGCAACCAGAAGACATTACTCCAAAACAGTCCTTTTACATACCCAGGAATGGAGAACTCAGCAGCAAGAATATTCAAATATAGCAGAATTGGCATGACAATATGAAAATGGAAAATAATGTAACAGTTTACTTTTCTTCTTGGTTCCAAACAGTCAGCATCCATCAGCAAAATACCACATCCCATGCCCTTCTAATGGCACCAACAGAAAAACAAGCTTATATATGAAGACCGCAGATTAGATATCTTTAAGTCGTTATTCGCCTTTATGCCTACAACTATTCTATCCATAACTGTATCGCTGAAGGCCACTCTAGACCACACAATATAAATCTCAGTTAAAAGGACCTTCTCTCAGACCTAGCGTATGTGTCCTGCCTCATCTCTACCCTGCACACCTCTCAAGTTCCTCCACGCCAAACCTTCTTCCACACAAATGCTAAAATCAAGTCATTGATAAAGGATGAGTGAAAACACTTGACATTTAACTAGACATGCAAAGGTATTGTACATAGCCACCATCCACTGCCTTACCCAGTAAAGTTTGAAGTTTTTGGGCAGCATCTCATATAAGTTGTACAGAGCCACCAAGTAACCCAAAATCTACTCAAAGGATTAAGCCATAAAATTAATAAAGAACACATAAAAGAGGATCCTGATCCCATTACTCCGCAAAATTAAGAAGCTCAATGGAGATATAGAAGCATGAATCCATCTATTATTAAAAAATTAATTAACATGGAAACTCCCCATCTGCATGGTTATAAGCCCATTAAAGGTCACCATGGTAGAGAACACCTAGCCTCACGATATATTTCTGTCCCACTACTCCATAGATATGTTGTATATCAGGTCCACCTTTATGTAAATGCTTGAACCTTCCTTAAAATGTTTTCATTTTCTTTTTTGTGCATTTTTCTTTGAGTGGGCGGGTGGTTTTTTGTTTTCTTTGTTTTGTGGGTTTTTTTTTTGCTTTTTTTTTTTTTTTTTTTTTTTTTTTTGGGGGGATGGAGCCAGGGGGGGCGGGGGGGGGGGGCGGGTGTAACCAAGGGAAGGAGCTTGCAGTTTTAATGATACACACCACTAGGCCGCAAAGTCTAGAAGCATTAAGATGAATGTCAGGCCTCATCCCAACCAAAACAACAATCATATTATATCATATCATATTTTAATAATTATATATTAATGTCCAATAATGTAAATAATTGCAACGCACAATAATTTGAACATCTATCTCTCTCTCTCTCTCAGTATATGTGTGTTTATATATATATATATATATATAGGAAAATCATTTTGTTAGCCCGAGTGCTAACAGAACAGTATTAGCCCAACCCTGATCCAATCTTGACAGATCCAACAACAATGAGTACAGGCACTGTTTGATTTTTAATTTTTTTTTTATATGTGCTCCTCACCAAGATGATCGAGAAAATAAAATAAAAATAATAATATGCAAATTTTTGAATGACCTCTATGCATGTATATATATATATATATATATATGATGCATATCAATATATGTATGTAAGTAACCATGTATGTCTTATGTAAGAAAGCTAGACTGAAATAAAGATCCATGAATGATTATGATCCTCAAGGAAAAAAAAAGTTTATAATATTATCAGGAGCCTACCAATCGAGACATGATGCTACAGCCATAACCTGCATCAAAGCTTCCAACCTGTAATAAAGAGTAGAGAAATAAATTCCTTTTATTGAAGTACAGGATTCAAGCTCCATGATGCTCCTCACAACAAAAATCCAATTGTCTTTTTATTGATTAAAAACAGTAACTACAACAATAACATTCCATAATTGTACAGTTCTACATGCAATATTCTATTGCACTTATTTAACAGTAAAATTTTGAAGAAAACATAACCAAAGATATAGCAATGTCCCAATTCCTAGTATTTTACTTCCTCGTGAGAATCCAAAGATCATGCTTCTTTGTGTTCCATGAGAATTGAAACCTGTTGCCTTCATTTAGAATTAACCATATCGATGTGCATATCTTCACCAAAGGTATAATCTTTTTACACAGCTAAAAAAGAAGGGGTCGGGTCCTGATCTAAGTGAATTAACAGCCTTATTGAGACTCGATGGATAGTGTGAGGTTTGAGGTGTGGAGAGTTGGCTTGAATGAGTCCGGAATCAAATCGCCAAGTCCTAAAACTATGGTTTTATCCCCTGAGGATTCATTCTTTTTCCAAGGAGTGCTATTGTTATTGGTATGTCATCAGACCCTTGTTATAGGTAAATCTTGTAGTTCCCCCATGCACAAATCAACACATGGATGGAATATATCCATTCCATCTTAACTCATACAAAATCAAAACACAACCTCAAAAAAGAAAATTGCCAAAAAGAAAAACAAAAACACTGGAAAATCCAAGAAAAAGAAAGTGCATTACAATAAAGTGCAATCAATTAACAATTTGCATAAATAGGAACCAGAGGATCAAATATTAGGATTTAGGAGGGCCTTCAAACTCTACAAATACTAGTAAAAACTGAAAAGGGTAACATAATTACACATGAGACTCCACAATAGAAATACGGGAACCAAGCATTGAATGTTGATCAGGTATCCTTAACAAGCATATTCACCAACGGGAAGAAAACCATTCTATGTAAGAGAAAAGAACCTTAGGGCCAGTCTGTCCGAAAACAGCATTATCTGCAGCAATTGTTAGATCACAAACCATGTGTAAAATATGCCCACCACCAACAGCATAACCTGCAACCTAATTTACATATGGAGTTCAAGTTAGGAATTTACATAAACAAATATTTTAAAAAAAACTTCAAGAATTGAGGTAAATAGTAAGTGTACCATAGCAAGCACTGGTTTGGGAAGGCGGCGTATCTGTACCTGGATAACATAAAAGAGGATGAGTAACATTTCAAAAAAAAAAAGTTAAAAGAGGATGAGTAACATAGTGATCAAAAAATAAAAGTTAAAAAGGAAAACAGCATTTAGGATCCCATAAGAAACCATTCCCTAGTTATTATGGTCAGGAATGTGTGCAGGTCTTCCTAAATAAAAGAGAACAGTGTATGCAATAACTAGTAAGCATAAATGACAGAATATTGGGAAATTACTGTTAAATCTTCTTTCTGACCCAAAGCCATAAAAAAATATTTCAGCATAATCCCAAGTGTATGGGCATGTTCCATTAATGGTCCCCAAAACCATCAAACCATACCCAAATTGAAAATAAGGACCCATCTCATTTTTTGTTTAGGAGAAAATCTTTCAATGCATCCTAAATAGTCCTCTATACAGTGGATCATAAAAAGCAACGATGCTATGCTAGTCAAAGGGAAGAATGAGAGCAGATCATCTTTCCTACGGACACTAGAACCCATACAAGGCATCTTAGGAGTTTCACTCACTAGAAGAGAAATTTGCTGCAGAAAGATAAGCTCGAATGCATTAATCTACCCACTCATGAGCCTTAATCTTCTTAACGATACACCAGGTTCTTAAGATTTAAATATGAAATCCAACAACCCATTGGCCACCAAAGCACACAATGATTTAAAGACCCTTCACAAAACCACCCTAATCAAGGTAAACAATGTAAGAAATGAAATCCATAATCCTTATGGCTTCCAGATAGCACTTTGGTGATGACTTCATATGGTTCCCTAACCCCATGTCCCTAGCTCTAGCCTTCTTCCATAATAAGGGTAAAGTAAATAGCATTGATCCTTAGCTCTAGCCTTCTTCCATAATTAATGTCCCTAGCTCTAGCCTTCTTCCATAATAAGGGTAAAGTAAATAGCATTGATCCTTTCGTGGCCATAAAACTCCTCAAAAAACATTCTAGAGGAAAGTTAATTGGGAACCATCTGGTATGAAAGCCTTATCTCTATGAAAAATCAAACTAAATATCACATTCTTAGCTTAAAGTAGACTAACCTGTTCCTTGCAGACTTGGAGGATTTTGGAGACATCAAATTTTGGAGACTTAGTATCAACTGAGTGTGTTCATATCCAAGGGAGGAAAAATCCATGGTGGAAAGACTAGCAAACTTAGTTCTTAATACTAGAAGGGGGTTATGGATGCCTTGCTCAGTTTGTTTGAAGTGCTTTTTCTAATTTGCTTTGTATGCGTTTACTTCAATGAAATTATTATAATAAATAAAATGCCTTTTCCTTCAGCCTATAGCCTCAGACAAAGACCTTAACCAAGAATAACCCAAAGGATTTGAGAGCCCATACTATGTTATCATCCATAGCCCCTTTCCTCACAACTGTTCTATATCTTCCAACAACTACAGAAGTTGGCCCATCACTTAACATCAAGGTTTCCCTCCAAATGAGAACCAATACACATTTTCTCCTTCAAAAAGCCACAATGTGCCTCACACTCAAAACTCAACAAAAATGCAACTCCCAAATTATCCAATGAACATACCCAAAGAGCTATCACTTCTCCACTACCTCCCATCTCATGCTTCATTTCTTCACTGGAAAATCATACTAATGTCCTATGAAAGACCTTCCTCCCCAAGGATCAATCATTATAACATTCAACCGCCATTCCCCCAAAAATAAATAAAAAAACCAGCAATTAAATCTTATTTTCTTTTTTTCCTCATTAACAGAATTTCTTTTTTTTTTTGGGTAAATTAGTGGGGATTTGGACCCCTCCCCATTTTCATTAATAGTGAAAGAAAGAAAGGAATATAGAGCGTACGTTACAGTTCTTTCGTATTTTGTCCTAGCCATATCAAAAGAGATGACAGAAGATAGGAAGTCCAGTGGTCGGGCTCTCCAAACCGTGGCCTTAGAGCGGGTTGCAGCTTTTTTAGCCAACTCATCCGCCACCATGTGGGCCCCACGATAGATGTGTAATATGTTCCAAGAACGGCCCGCAAGGTGGTGAGTGCAATTTGATGCAGCAATGTGAAGAATTCAAGGGGGCTCATGGCGTCCAACGATAGAGTACACCAAAATATGTGAATCACTTTTGATAAGCAACGGGAAGTACTGCATCTCAATAACCAGATAGATGCCTCTTCAACAGCTGAAAATTCGGCAACATTGTTGGTTGTATGGCTCAATAGAGCAGCAAAGGCAGCAAGGAAGCCGCCGCCCATGTCGTTCCTGATGATTCCACCGCAACCAGCCATTCCAAGATTGCTAAGAGATGAACACTCAATGTTGAGTTTGTAGTGGCTTGCCAGTGTAGGAGACAACGAGATCAGAAAGGAGGATTTGGGTTGCATGGGGCACCATTGGATCGTGAGATTATCCACTATATGCCTCTCTGAAGGGTGAAAAGTCCATTCTTAAGCATTTGTCAGACTTGCAATGAAGGAAGAGATGCGATGCAACAATAGTTCTCTTTTGGATTTCTTTCCTTCAAAGATGCACCGGTTCCCTTTAGTCCAGAGGAGCCAAACTCTAATAGAGAACATGGAAGTCCTCGCATTGCAAAGGCCAACCAATCTAAACCGAAACTTGATCCACCTTGTGAACGTCATGATTGGGGACTGTTCGAGAAGTACACTTTTGCCAAATATCCAAAGGACAGACCTCCAAAGTACCTGCTAAAAAGAGCACCGCATAATTATATGATAAGAAACTCCTCCTCTTGGAGGTAGAGGGGTAAAATAGACTCCAAGGCCAAGCCCCGTGATTGGAGCAATCATGTGGTAGGCAATCAGCACGAAGGGAAAGCCAAGCAAACCATTTTGCTCTGGGGTGAGTCGATGCAGACCAGAGGGCTTTGAAAGCTAGTTGCACAGGGGTAGATTGGCGAACCTGATTCCATGCACTCCCAACTGTGAAAGAGCTATCATCAGAATTATCAAGACAAGGTCGTTCACCATGGGACAAATGGGGAGCATGTGGGATTCTACTTCCTCTCAAGCGTGAATGAGAGAACCTGAAGTTGGGAGAGGTATGGACCATCTTCGGGGCAAGCCTTCCAGGTAGTTAGACACTTTAGGCATGGCTAGGAGCCTAGGACACCCAGGTCTTGGTGGATGGTTGTATCTTATTTCTCCCACATCGAACTCTCGAATAGCCACAGGTGAGCCCAGAAATCAAAATAAGCTTTCCATCACCAACGATCCATTTCACATTGCTTCGCAACCTGTTAATCCCCAAAGTAATACATCTCCAAGCATGAGAGCAACTTTTAGCCTGAGTGAGCAAGATAGAAGAATTGCAAAAAATGTGTTTAAAATACCGGGCTAAGAGGGAAGATGGGCTTAAAATGATTCTCCACACTATTTTCGTCATACCCGCCATACTAAAACCATGGACATTTGGAGCCCCAAACCCCCTTCTTCAATTTTTAGTCATAAAGTGTTCCATCCGATCAGATGCAATTCTTGATTTCTGAGATCCCTGCTCACAAAAAAGTTACATTGGAGTCTCTCAATGATACTGCAAGTGTGACTAGGGAGTAGGAAGAAAGAAGCCAATAACTTGATGAGCCGCAAGTACAGACTTCAAAAGCTGTACAAGAAAGAAAACTTGCCTGACATGAGCTTCTTTTACTAATAGTCTTCCCAATTAAACTATGGCAATGTGTCTCAGAAGCCCGTGAAACAATGGAAGGCCAAGATACTTAACAAGGAGTTTTGCGGTCCCAAATTCAAGAGAATCATGCAACCTTTTTCAATCTTGCGTTTGCCCCAAAGAAAATAACTTTGCTTATCCTGTAATTGAGTTTCTAACCCGTAATCGAGCAAAACTCATTTAGGATATGTTTGACAGAGAGAGCCACTATGGAGGATAGAAAAGGAAGGCATAAAGATACAGTGATGAACCCAAGTAATGAAAACGTCTGGGAAACCCAATGCAAGAAATCTCTCTAAAATGAACTTACAAAATACACAATCATAAGCGCTACTCAAGTCCAACTACAAGCACATTTTAGGCTTGGCAAAATTATTGTAACATAAAGATACTAACTCATTGGCCATGAGGATATTATTAGTATCAATCTTCCCTTAAGAAATGCAACTTGGCAACGATGAATGAGACACTCGAGAACTTTCCTCAATCTATTTGCAACTATCTTACCGATTATTTTGTAAAAGAACAATTGGTCTAAATTCCTTCATGAAAGTAGGGCAAGCAACTTTTGGAATCAAACATATAAAGGTAAAATTTATCTCTTTCAAAAATTTACCTCTACCTCAAAAACCCTTCAGAGCAATGAAGTGGGATCATTTTTCATGATATCCCAACTGAATTTGTAGAACACCCCAAAACCATCAGGGCCTAAAGCATTTTCGGATTCATTTCCCAAACACAATCTTAATTTCCTCCAAAGTTTTTTCGCATATAAGTTCATTATATTGTTATTGTGATACCCACCCATCTGGAAGGAAATCATTGGCAATGAGTCCCAATGGAGATAATTCCTGAACCTCTGGTACCAAGAGGGCCTGAAAGTAGGAGATCATATGAGCTTGAAAGGCCTTTGGGTCCAAAATTTGATTTCCAGTTGGATCTTTTAAATGCAGGATTTTGTCATTTCGCCTCCTGGTGAGAGCAGACAAATGAAAAAAAGATCTAGTGTTAGAATCACCATCCTCCAACCAAGTTTCCCTTGACTTTGCCTCCATAGGCTCTCCTCCTATGCTAGTAGACATTGCAACTGATTAGACAGCTCAGCTTCTTTTTTAGGCAAAAGTTGTGTCACTAGGGTTATTCTGAACCATATCACGCAAAATTGATAAGCTGGCCCTAGTATGTTTTATTTTCATGCCCACATGCCCGAGAGAATTTTTATTCCATCTGGTGATATCCCCTCTTAATCTTTTTAGCTTTGATGCAAAACGGAACAATGGGCTACCTCCAATCTTCCCTTGCCAGGATTGCTTAATTAAATCTAATAAATCTGGTGCTCCCCGCCACATGGTAAAATATTTAAAAGGGTTAGGACCAGAGGGTGGGAGAACAGAGGAATAATCAACAATAAGGAATGATTTAAGGTCCCTTTAGGGAGTAATTCCACTTTGATTTAAGGTCCCTTTAGGGAGTAACTCCACTTTCGCTTCTGGCATGTTTATCAGCCATTCAGTTGTTGCCAAAGCTCTATCTAGGAGTTCATGACTACATCAGATACCGGTGCTGCTATTAGACCATGAGAACCACCCTTTAGGGGAGCCCAAGTCAACCAAAGCACAGTCAACTAGAATCTTTGCAAAGCTTCCAGTAACAGCACTGGTTTCACTACTGCCGCCATACTTCTCGGAACTATCCAAAATAGAGTTGAAATCTCCAAAACCAACCACGAACGTGAAAACCTAAGCTTGAGGTGACTAATATCCCATAAAACCTTCCTATCTAATGCGGAATTTCTGCCACCTGTTATAACAAGGATGCCCCGTACTAGGACAAAGAATTTCAACAGTTATGGCTTGGTCATGAATCTCAATAGCATTGACGTTATAAATATTCGGATTCTAAACCAACATTATTCTAGATTTTCCCTCCATCTTATTAATCACAAAAGAATTGTAGAAACCAATTTTCTTTGACCACTTTCCTGCTGATTCAGATTTCACCTTTGTTTCTAGTAAAAGACATACAGCAACACCAAGATTAATGGTAAGATTTTGAATATCTGATGTCCTTCCAATTGTGCTAACCCCTCTAATATTCCAAGAGATAATAGACATGAAAAAAAAAATTAAGAGGAAGAAGAGATACCTGGATGTTTATCACCCCCTCATTTTGCACAACATTAGTTTCCGGCAACCTGATTCCAGCCATGCGAGCTCAGAATTTTCACCCCAACTTGAGCGCACCCCCATGAGCCAACAAAGACCCCTCTCGTGAACTATCTAGAGTGCCAACAATAGGTTTCCATCACCTAGCATTTTCTAACGAGTTCAATGAGACATTCACACCTTCCACCAAAACTTCACCAAAATCATCGGAATATGCAATGACTAAATTCCGGTATTTTTCAGTAAGTTAACCATAATTACAACACCTGCCAAAATTTCAGTCAAGTTTCCGGCTAAAAAATTCTGAGCAGAGGAAATTTGTTTACCTTCACCCGCATGAGGCGATGGAATTTTGGTACCAACCAAGTTCACGGCCTCAGCTGAAATCAAACAGATGTGATCCTCCGAAATTTCGCTACGACCAACAAAATTTTGCCCAACAATCTTCTCATTTACCTCCAATTGAGTTTCCTTTAAGACGTCCTTCATCATATCATCTTTTGCATTTGTTTTAGGAACTTCAAGCACCCAATTGAGTTTCCTTTTAGATGCCATTTATCATATTATCTTTTGAATTTGACTTAGGAACTTTAAGCATCGCCTTCCCAACTAGTCCTAATTTTTCATGGCTATTGCCAAATTTTGAGCCACCAAATTGTGCAATCTTATCATTGTCTAATGAAGAGACCACAAAAACCAAAGGCTCTCAGTGCGCACCACATTAGCATCTAGGAATGAAGGGTCCCACAAACCGGCTCAATTGGACTTTTCTATGCCAAGGAGAGTGAAGGGAAACCAGCATTGATGGTACGTGTATCCTTGGAACTGAGCAACTTTAATGCTTCAAATTTGTTTTCCTGTAGGTTGGTTGCCATTTTTTACGATGAAACTCTCCTTTTCTCCCCTTGACAACTCGCCAAACCTCTTCATCTTTCTTATTGCTGGATTTTTTTATAGCGTTTGATAAAAGTTGTAAAGGGGGAAACTGGCATACTTTCACCCAAACTATTGCTTTCACCCATTTGATAAGGAACAATTTAGGGAAAATCGGAACACCCACCCTCTTTCCCATTTACACTATTCACCTTAAGCAACTTGCTGCGCATGGGGGAGGCGCACGGCAGCTTTCGATGAAATTCAGACACTCGCACTCTAGGAAGAACCCATGAAGCCCTTTCTAAACCCGTGAAGCCCTTTTCTAAAAACCACTCATGGAGAAGAAGAAAACTCACGCTCACAGCTGCTGCCCTTTGCAAACCCTAGGTTGAAGAAGCGAAAGGGACTCGCTCACAGCAGCCGCTCGCTCCATCGCCATCATCACAAAGCAAGAACCCCAAATCAGTGAGTTTTTTTGTTTTTTTACTTTTTATTATGAGGATAAACCCCAAATGACTGCAGTAAATTTTTTTTTGCCACGAGTTTTGCTAATGAACTCCAGATGAATGAGTTAACTCACTGATAAACCCCAGATCAATGAGTTAAATTTTTTTTTTTTTTGCTACTATTTTGGCTCATAAACCCCAAGTCAATGAGTTAACTCACTGGTAAACCACAAATGAGTCAGTTTTTTTTTTCTTTGCTGCTATTTTTACTGATAATTCCGAAATAGAGAAGTTAATTCGCTAATACACCCCAAATCAGTGAGTTCAATTTTTTTTTTGCTGTTAGTTTGGCTAATAAACCCAAATCAGTGAGTTTACTCACTCACTCATAAACCCCAAACCAGTGAGTTATTTGTTTTTGCTGAGTGAGTTGACTCACTGGGAAACCCTAAATCAGTGAGTTAATATTTTTTTTGCTACTACTTTTGATTATTCATGGATGTGCTTTGAGTTTGCTCTGTTTTTTTTTTTTTATTTTCTATTGGTTATTTGTATCATATTACCACTATGTTTGGGTTATGTTTGTGCATTTCAGCACCTCAAATGTTTTTCCGTCTATGGATTGTACGTATATAAACCAGTTGTTTACTTCTGAACTACTATAAGTTGACACTTCTTTTTGTGGTGGGCATGCACAACATGCTTTGCGTTCTATGATTAATTTGTTGAGTTCTCAAACCTCCATTGATGCTTACTATTGTTAACAGTACATTCTCGGTTCCATGTCTTGCCCAAATGATACTTTTGTCATTTGAGCCTGAATTTGTTTTGGATTTGAGTCTTGAATGACACATATGATTTTATGAAGCTAATGTAAGTTATACTACATGCAAGTTGCTGTCTTTTGTTAATTGAAGTGATGACGGCAGTGTATTGCTTTCTCCTTAGATTTCTTGTGTTGAGTCATTTAAGTATGTAATTACTTTACAAGTTTGTAACTTAATTTGTTAAGTTCTTGATATTTTGTTGCTCTACAAGGGTCTTATGTGTTGCAATTAAATATAAGTGATTGATCATGGCATAAATCAAGACCCTCTTACTAAATAATGACATTACTACTTTATTGTTTTGTGTTCTATGATTAATTTGTTGAGTTCTCAAACCTCCATTGATGCTTACTGTTGTTACCAATTCTTGAAGGCTGCTTGTGCATTGAGTGAAATTTTGATATTAAGAAAATTAATTTGGTCAATATTTAAAGATTGGAATTCTTTGAATTTATTTACATGTTTGGTATTATATTGAATGAATGGAAGGAACCTTATTTAATTATAAAATGTTGTTAAAAAACTGCATTTTGCACATCATATCAATGAAATACACCAATGAATGGTATTACAAGCAGCTTCCAGCTTTCCCATTGCCAAAAAGGTGAAATTACCAGCACCACAGTTAATCAAATAGAGTTTCCAGCATTCACCCAACCAATTTTCACTTGCATCCCCAAATCTAGGAAAGTCAGCAGCAGGGGTGATTCCCGGGGAAACTGCAGTGAAAGTTATCAAACACCACCTTTGTGAGTACTGGCTTCTCCATATGACAGCTCTTAACAGTCAATTTGTTTTCTTACAGAACTGTGACTTGTGTCCCATGGCCTTACATTCAGAGCATTGTACTAGGATGAACTCATAAATAACACGTTGTTTCACCTCTTTTCCTATTATATTGAATCCAAATTTCTTCAGGGTTATCATCTGCCATGTTCAATGCTACACAGGCTCTTGCCTGCAGTCTAGACCACAAGCTCGTAGGCCGGTCCATAAAGAGAGGTCGTCCAATGGCAGATGCAACCCAGTATTTTCGACTCCCAACAAATGAGTTGACAAACCAGGCAACTTAATCCGCACGGGCAACACCTCTTTCAATTACTTCGAGGGTGTAACATCAGGCTCCCATTTTTGCAACACCAGGCAACTCTTGTTGATAAACAATGGACTGCTTATGGCTCTTATCATTTCATCCAACTCCTTGAAACAGAACAATAAAAAAACATCTGTAAGAGAAAAAAATTCTAGTTCAGATTTGACCTCCCACATTTGCATCAACATACTTTTCATATACAGCTGCTCCGGTCTTGTCCCTAAGAAAAAACCAATAAGACAAAATTTCCACCTTGATGCACACTCTTTATATAGGTTTGAATCAATGTTGATGATGAATTGACCTTCAACAAGTTTTGGTTGGGGGGTTGTTTGATGTTTGAAGTATGCGACACCCTTTTGAACACCAGGACTCCCAAACAGTAGACCAGTTGCCGATGTTCCTTTCTTCCAACAGCTAGGCCTTAGATCAGTAGCTTCATTAGAAACTCCATTACCAGAGAGGTCGAATCTTTGTCCTTCAATACCAGATTTGAGTTCAACACCAGTTTTTTGCTTGAATAGATCACCAGCAAGATTAACAAAAGAACATAGATCCTCATCTACACCTGCCGAAGTAGAGCCAAAAGGCTCTGGAGGTTTCTTATCGGAAGAATCATCACCATGGTTGGATCTTTCACTCAACGTCATGCAGGGATCAGCAGAATCCTCTCTCATGGCTGCTCATGCTTCTCACAGACCTTTCCTCTCTCAAGAATTAGTTTACCCCTATACATCTTATGCACCTTAACAGAATTTCATTAATTTAAAAAAAATTATAGGGCCCAAAAGTATAATATGTTTGATGTGAATAACCCAATGGATTTACACACACACCCAAAAAAAAAGCAATCAAAATATCAATCCAAAGCCTAAGTTTCTCAATTTCTTCATACCCAAAACCTCCCTATTCTTAGGTTTGCATTTTCCATGAAACCTCTACTCACTAGATATATATTGGCATCCTAGTCTCCAAGCTCTATTGCTCCATGGAAAGTCATGTAGCAGCACATTAAACCTTTTTATCACAAATAACAACACATGAAACGAATGTGTGAGAAAACGGTAGATTAATTGCATCCCAGCAAACTCTCCCCCAAAAACGAAAGGCAAAAGATTGGGTTGTAAATTGAAATCAGTGCCTGAAATATCTAGCAACATCATTCACAACATCCACCAAGGCACTCAGACTCATTGCTTTGATTTCCCACACCAGAACCTTTTCATTAAACAAGTTTTCCCCACAATAATATTCCATGCAAAGTTTCCTCAAAGCGTCTTAGTACAGATTATGCCACTTCAAATACGTGTTGTGATACACATCAATAGATAGGAGACCGATACCATCAACTATTGGAGACAAGCCTAGGATAAAGCCCGCTCATGCAGCTCTGCTCAATATATTAACTCACATGATCAACCATAAATACAGACAAAAAGGCAAGAAATAAAATGATTTCAGTGCTGTAAATTCATCCCTTTGTTAACCATTTTGTTTTTCCTTTTCCAAAAAAAGAAAAACAATTTTGCTAGTTTTTCCAGATGTTGCATTCAAGTTTGCACCAGTTTTTCTCCTCACTTCTTCCAGTGAATTTTCAAATTGTTTGCTCTTCAGTATAAAGGCATATCATGTGCATCGTCTAGCTCATACTTACAGTAAAATGCCAAGAATATAGAACCATCATTACCAACAAGAAAGTGTAGCAGTAAATCATATCAATCATAAATGTTGGTTAGATAGCCTTACCTGTAAATCTAAAACATTAAGGCGGCCAAAACTATCATAATCAGCATATCCAGTTGAACTTCTTAATGCTTGATCCCCACCACTGCAAAAAGCCTCAGTACCCTGGCACAAACCCAAATGCAAAGAGATTTTTTATACGCTGAAACATCATCAGCATAAACAGAATCAACCGAGAAAATGACTTCTCTTGTGTAGACTATCAATTAATTTACAATAGTATACTTAGACTTCATTAACAATTAAAAACGAATTTACTTAGGCCGCATCTGAATGCTGCCTGAAACTCTGAATTTGCACTGTTGGGGTGGCATGGTTGGAGTTGATGCCTTTGGGTGACATTGAATAACATCCAAGAAATGCCGTCACCTTGTAAGAAAGATGAAAACTGAGCATAAAAGATTCCATCCACCTTACAAATTAATTAGTTTTGTTGGTGCACCAACCAAATGTTCACCAAAACGCACGTACGTATCCAAACTTGGAGTATATATGGGAAACTATATCCATATATTGTAATGATATGAATGACAGTGACCACATGGATAGGTGATCATGAAGATCATCACAATCAAATCAAATCAAATGGTTGGATAGTGATGGAGAGAGTGGGACCCGCCAGAACTGGGCATGTATTGGGTGGTGGGTCCCACTTTCCCTCCATCCTGCTTGTATTTCTTTAAATACTTGGAAGTTAATCATCCCCATCAATATGCTCCTGACTGGGCCACTCAACCCATGATGGCACAAGGGGGAAAATTACAATACAAGGCAGAAGTCAACCCTGAAATACAGATAGGCATGTATAAACAAGTAAGATTTTCATAATCATGTTAATTTACATACAGGCAAAGATGTGAAATGTGCTATTAACCACGTTCATTTATTTAATTTGCAAATGTAAATTACTTTCATATGAAGCACGATGTGAAATTGGAATACAACTATGAATTTTCAACACTTGCAGCCAAATCTTACAGATTGCCATCTTTGGGTTCAAAGCTGATTATAACTTCATAATAATGTAATAAAAAAAATAATTCAATATCCTTGAGGGTGTGGGTTTGATCCATATTATCTACCAACCAAAGGAAATTAACTGCTCATTATCTTCCTTTTGTAATACTACCTATTACTACGATTCTCAATGTGTGGTTCTGTAGACATGTGACAGCAGTTGCATCGAAAACAAACTTATGAGTTGTAGCAAGGTGCTATTCAGATAATCAAATTCTCAGTTCTACTTCCTCTACAGGCTACAAAAGAATCGGAGTACTCTAGTTGATTTAAAGTTATAAAAAATATGAGAACTAAGATCAGAACCTAAGACTATTTATCATGAGAAACAAATATTATATATTTAGCTGGATTATACTTAGATTGTATATTGAAGTTCTCATCACGGAATGTTTGATAGAAAGTGGATGAGAGGTATGTCATGAACAAAAGAAGATAAGACATGGAATAACGCCATGAAGATAAGAATATGGCAGTTGTGATGATGACTGCTGAATAATCCTTCTGAAAATGCATCTCTACTTTGTCAATGCGAGATGTGAAAAGGGGATTCAACAAGTAATCGGTTTCGACAAGTAATTGGTGACCTATTTGTTTTAGTTCTTAAGTTAACTCCATAAGCAGAGTGTTTTGCCCAATATATCACCACATAAGTGTTGGGGTTTGTGGCCTTTAAAGGCCTTGAGAGCATGTAAAAATAAAAATCATAGCGGACACCATCTACTCTAGTGGGAGTGTGGTCTTTATGGGACCAATAGGGCACTTTATGATTTGTTGGTTGACTCTCCTGGGTTGAGCAGCCTAGACCCAAGACTGAGTCCAAAACCTGTACCACTAGGCATAGGCACTATCCTCGAGTGTTACAGTGTAGGGTCATCCCTAGTTGAAGTAGGAGAGATATCCAAGGATGATCCTGTGGGCTAGGAGGCTGGTGGTCTCCTGTATACCATTGGAGGATCAGCAACCACCGCATGACGTGTACACATGATAGCCACATTATGGGAAGCAGCTTGGGATAGGTCATGCACATGTGCTAAAGAGAATCCCCTTGCACTATTGCAATACGTGCTTTCATCCCTATGTATAAGACTTGCTCTTAAGTGGGAAATCTATAATCTACACAATAGATTCATGATCGCACTGTTTATTGGCCAACTTTGATGGGTCAATCATGAGCCCTTACAACTGACCATGGATCATAGGTCCTGATGGGTTGGTTTGAGAACATAGTTTGTGGGTCAAGATTTTTGGCATAGGTTGAGTGCCATAGAAAGTCACATATTCCCATAGTTGTTGGAAACGCCTAGGAACCGAAACAGTTTTAGGAACCGGAATTGTGGAATCGCAGCCGGCTAAAAGATTTATGTCTTAAGAATTGTTGTCCGTACAATAGGAATCACTAGGATCGAGATTCCTAGTTTTGATAATCGTGTTTCGATCGAAATAGATCCAAGTTTCATCTACGTATGGAATCGAGATTTCGTCCTCATTGGAATCGGGATTCCCATCCACCTGGAATCGACACTCCAGGAGTCAAGATTCATTAATATACACAATCGAGTTTTCAACATCTATGGGACAGAGATATGTTGTTGTTTCGAATCGTGATTCTAACATATTTGGAATCAGGTTTTTGAATTATATGAATCAGAGACCCATGCCAATTTGAGATCGAGATTTACAATAATATGGACTATGGAATACGTTTAACGATCCCTACTAGGAATCGAGATTTCATTTTTATGATAAGGAAGGCACAAGCACATCTTGAGCCTCATCAACTTTAAAACCTATATTGGATGTTTCTTATTAGAAGGTTTCCCGGATTTTAAAGTGATTGCATTGACTATTGAACTTATGGTCATTATATACAAAAGACAAGTATTCCTAAATTGTGATTTGGACTTCATCATTATAAAGACAAAATAGGATCATGTCTACGCCATGGTTTACTTTTAATTGTATGTGTTGTATTTACCAGTAATATTTTAAATTTAAAGTAAAGGCCATCCATGGTGGCACAAGTAAACTAATGAAGCCCTGAACCACTAGAAGAATTGGAAGGATGATTTATACTCCAATTGACATGAAATCAAGATTTAATCCACGCTAGAATCCAAATTTGATATATTTTGAGAACGTCTACCCAAAATATATTTTGGGAACGCCTACCCAAAATTTGATATATTTCGGGCCCGGCAGACCTAGCTTTCGCCTCTTCCTCTCTCTAAGAAAAGTCTCTCTAAGAAAAGACAGCAGCTGAGTTTTCCCTTTCGCTCTCCCAAAAAGACAGCAGCTGAGATTTCCCTTTGCTCTCCCAAAAACTCAGTAAATAGAGGTCAACAGATCTCCAACAACCATAACAAGGTAGGACAAACTTATCCGCATTCTTTGAAAAACCTGGCAGTCCCTTCTTTAAAAACTTTAGTCTCTTCTCACCCTCTACCTCTTCCGCTCTCTACAATAACCAGCATCAAAATGCAGGATTTCACACATTCAAAGAGTTGGTTTGTACAGAGCAGAGCATTAGAGTGAAGCAAGTTGTGCTTGATTTACTCTGAATCTCGAGAGATTATTGAGGACCAATCTTGCTGGTTTTGGAACACAAGGTGGGGTCAAGTCAATGGAGACAAGGCGATTCAGAATTTCTTGACAAGATGGGGTAGACGATTTTTTGACAAATCAATGAAATTAGACATCCAAACAGTCTACCAACAAAAGAAAATAAGACGAGAATGGTTTTCAATTGAGGTGGAAAAAACTTGCATTTTTTTTCTCCGTGAATATTTTTTTCTTTGACATCCAAACTGGCCCTAACTTTTCCATACTTTATTTATGCCCAAAGAATTTTTTATTCAATTAAATTATTTTTTCTGCAAATTAAATATTCAATTTATTTCTTTAAAGTAATTTTAAGGGCATATTTCATATATCTAAATTTATTTGGGCATTTTAATATTTGTAGGACCCACATGGCGGACCAATAGCCATGGCCCACCATGTGAGTTAGCCCCACATTTGCATGGGACGTGAACCCCATAAGGGTTCCACGTCACCCTTTTTTCCTCCCCCCTTCTCTTCTTGTAAGATAAGGTTGTTATCAGAAGGAGAGATTTAAGGGGGATAAGGACAAGGTTTTAAAATAAATAAATTTTGTTTCACGAAAATAAGAGATAATTTGGTTTCCTGAAGGTTTTTTATTTCTAGAAGGGAAATTGTTTCTAGAATATATGGAAATCCTAATCCTAAGGAACTTGGAATTTATGGATAAAAACTAATCCTAACAGAATTAGAAGAGGATATGGGTCAAGGATCTAAGAGATAATGGTTCTAGAATTCCTCCCTTTATAATAATAATTGATCTAGTGAATGGATGGCTTAGATGAATTTTCTCTTCACCACATATATTACCTTGGACTCCTTGGTCCAAGCTAAATCATATTAAAAGTCAGCATACCCTAGGACGTAGAGGCCTTGTATGTGGGGGTCACCGCTCAGTTCTCAGTTTCATCTCTCTCTCTCTCTCCCCATAGCCCGATCTTAAGGGGCACCCCACCCCTAGGAAGCCCATTTAAGGGTGAAGCCCAAGCCTTGGTGCCACATTGTAGCATGCCCCATAGTTGTGATGGTTGACAAGAAACCTAGTTCCCTTGTATATGCTCTCAACCCTAGTTTTCAAGTTAGGGTATGGCAAGCAACTTCCAAGATGAGAGAATTCAGCAAGACCAATGGGATCAGTGTGCCATCGGTTTGGTAATTAGGATTGGGGTGTATTAAGTTCTATGGAGGTGATCCTAATCATAGTTCAGTAAGTTGCTTCCCAACTTTATTTATTCATTTTGTTCTTGATTCAAAAAGGTTGTAATTCATTCTTTGTCTATGAATAAAGTTTGTTTTTTAAGGCAGTACGTAATGTTCGAAAATTTGGCCTCACGGCTGCCTAGGTGACCGCCTAATCGAATGAGTGACCAAAACACCTAGGCTGCAGCTAGGTGGGTGATAGAGGGCAAAATTAATTTTATTTTTAATTTTTATTCAATTTCTATATACATATATATATATAAAGTTATTACACAAAAATGGTTTAC